AAGACATTAGTTTTCTAAACACAAAACTTTGGAGCAAGGATTGTTCGAGGTCAAAGAACTCAAGTTATCATCCGAGTCGGCCTCCATGTATTTTTCCTAAATGAGTTCTTAATAAAGGAATTAATGAGAGTAATTTATCCGTGCATAAATTAATATAATCTATAGAGTATCTCAAAGGTTTTATGAAAATTTTTGTTATACACGATTCGCCTCCCCCCCACGCTTCCGCATTTGAATTCGATTCGGAAACCAACATCGAACCCTCAGGACGCGCACAATTCTTGACATATTTCTTTAACGATCCAAGAAAACGTTCAAACGGATACATCTATTTTAAGTGAACTGGTCCTCCTCGAATTGCTTCTTCAGGCAAGTGTATAACTAAATGTACCATTATGTCAAAAAAGGCAGGAGGAAAAATTATGCATAAAATAAGCACAATATCTTTTGAGCTTTCTCTAAATCACTTTTCGCAATGTCCTTGAGCATATTAACTCGAAAAATTCCTTAATTCTGTTATTGCATCAACGATCTCTTTCTTCATGAATGGTCGTATCCCTGGTGGCAATAATCGCTACATTATGATGTGACAATCATGTGATTTTAGCCCCGTAATTTTATTATTCCCTTCGATCACATTTTTCTCTAAAATTAAAGCAAATCCATCAGGAAACCTTACTGATTTTAAAAAGTCACGAAACTTTTTACCGTCGTCTGGAGATAGTGTATAAGACGCATGTGGTTTCATCCAACGATCACCGTCTTTGTACAAATGCAACTCCTGGCGCACCCCCATATGTTGCAGATGGATTCTCGCCTTGTCCGTATCCTTACTTTTTCCGTCAATGTCTAGAATTGTGCCCAATAAGCTATCGCATACATTCTTCTCAATATGCATGTCATCTAAGTTGTGACGTAACGACAATGACTTCCAATAAGGCAACTCCCAAAAGATACTCTTCTTTGTCCAATTAAGCTCGCTTGCATGTCTTTTCCGCTTCTTACCACCATATTTTTCATGTTTACCAGGCAATCTAAGGGACACATTTTGTAACTGAGCTAAGATTTGGTGAACAGATTTTTGAGCCGGTGGAGGTCGTTTCTCAACCTTACCATCAAACTTTTTATTTTTTCTCATCCCATGTTTAATAGGAAGCCATTGCCGATGGCCAACAAAACAAGTCTTACTTATTATCCTCTTTGAAGGGGTTGAATCGTTGCAAGTTGGGCATGCTAAATAGCCCTGACCACTCCATCCAGATAAACTACTAGCCTGCATCTGAAATGATGTATTCGAAACTGCATCACGTACAATTACTTCTCCATTCCACAAATCTTTTAGCACATCCACAAGGGGCCTTAAAAAGACATCCATATCCTTTCCGGGTGCATTTGGGCCAAGAATCAACAATGTCAACATCTTATAAGGATCCTTAGTGCAGAACCACGGAGGTAAATTGTAGGTCGTTAAAACCACGGGCCACATATTGTATGAGAGGCTCATGTTCCCGAAAGGATTGAAACCATCAGTGGCCAACCCCAAGCGAATATTTCTCGGCTCACGTGAAAACTCAGGATACTAATCATCTACCTCCTTCCATTCATTACCATCGACTGCATGACGCATTAAATCCTCATCATTTGAACGCCCACGCTGGTGCCACGTCATATCTTTAGCAGTGTGCCGAGAACCGTACAGACGCTTCAACCGATCTACTAACAGGAAATAACATAGTACTTTCCAGGGCACTTGTTTAGTACCCTTTGTCTTTTTTTTCTTCCAATAGGATGTTTTACATACGGGACACGTTTGTAGATCAGCGTTCTCCTTCCAAAACAAAGCACAATCGTACTTGCAGACATGAATTGTTTCGTAACCCAGTCCAAGTTTACTCATGAGCTTCTTCGACTCATAATGAGAAGAAGGTAACTTCACATCCGGGAATGCATCTTTAAATAGATTTAACAGAGCATCCATACACTCATTAGGCGACTTGTATAACACTTTTAAATGCATCAATTTCACTAAGAAATTTAAAGACGAATACTTAGTATAGCCCGGATAAAATCCCACTTGGAGCTCAGAAATTGTAGATCCTTAAATTCAGCGTATTGTGCATCTTCTAGATCCACATGCGTCTCATCCAACATTTCATTGTCATCATTAATCCCAGCAACATCTTCTAAGACTGCAAACATCTCGTCTACTGGTTGATTAACTATTGGGTTGACACCTGAAACCACTTCTACTTCACCATGGTGAATCCATGTACTATACAATGGAT